CTAAAACATTAAGAGATGCTATTCTCTATATACTTTCTCATTATAATCTTGACATTCAGAACATTTGTAGTCAAGGATATGATGGTGCAAGTAATATGAGAGGTGAATTTAAAGGTCTTCAAGCTTTGATTAGTAAAGAATGTCCTTATACTTACTACATTCATTGCTTAGCTCATCATTTGCAATTAGCATTGGTTGCAACATTAAAAGAGGTTAGCCCTATCTATCAATTTTTTTTCAAAATTGACTAGTATTGTTAATGTTGTTTTAGCTTCTTCTAAGTGAAATGATGAGTTGAAATCTATTTATGCATATGATATTGCTCAATTAATTGAAAATGATGAGCTTGAAATTAGAACTGGGCAGAATCAGATTGGCACTCTACAACGGCCTGGAGACACTCGTTGGAGTTCGCATTTGAAATCTCTTTTAAGCTTGATAAACATGTTTAGTGCAACTTTTACTATTCTAAACAATTTGATTGATGAAGGTTCTATTGCTTTTCAATGTGGAGAAGCATTAACAGCTTATGAGGCTCTGATGTCTTTTGAGTTTGTATTCATTTTACATATAATGAAAGAAGTTATAGAGCTCACTGATTTACTTTGTCAAGCCTTGCAACGTAAGTCACAAGATATTTTGAATGCCTTATATCTTGTCACAACAACAAAGGCCATCATCCAAAAATTGAGAGAAAACAAGTGGGATTCTTTACTTGAAAGAGTTAGATTATTTTGTGAGAATCATGATATAAATGTTCCAGACATGTCTGCTACATATGTTGCTAAAGGAGGACGCGCTCATCGTCAGCCAGGTATTATTACTATTGAGCATCATTATCAGGTAGATATTTTCTATGCTTCAATAGATTCCCAATTGCAAGAGTTGAATGACAAGTTCAATGAGAGTTCAATGGAATTATTGACTCTTAGTTGTGCTTTAGATCCTCGAGATGGATTCAAGAGTTTTAACATTGACGATATTCATAGCCTCGTACAAAAATATTATCCTCAAGATTTTTCAGAAATGGAGAAAGAAAAGTTGCAACTAGAGCCTAAGTTTTATGAGTTTGATATTACTCATAATCAAGGTTTTCAGAATTTGTCAAATATTTCAGAACTATCGCAGTGGCTTGTGGAGACAAGAAAATTAGACATTTATAGTCTCATTTACAAATTGATTACCTTGGTACTCACTCTTCCTGTATCTACAGCAACAATAGAAAGAACATTCTTTGCCATGAAAATTGTGAAAACAAGGCTTCAAAATAAAATGGAGGATGAATTCCTTTCAAACTCTTTGATTGTTTATATTAAAAAAGAAATTGTGCAAACATTTAGTACAAATTTTATTATAGATAGATTTCGTGATTTGAAAACGCGTTGAGTATTACTTTAGTTTTCATGTAAAAGAAATAATTGTCAAACATTATTTTATTGTATGAATTAGAAGCTTTTATGACTTAAAAATTTCGCCCCCCTAGCATGAATTCCTGGCTCCATCCCTGACTCTGACTACTGCCATGCAAAATTGTGCAAACTCAATATTGTCAACAAGATTCACATTTCCATAGTGTTAATTTATTGACAAAATACTTATTTGAATTTTAAATAATATAAATTAATGTTAATTTTACTATTTTACTTTGTACAGATATACTATTTATCGATAAAATACTAATTTCCCGATAAAAACTTTCACATTAGTGATATCTTGATCAGTAATTTAAGGTTTTGTAATAGTGAAAGTAAAAAATATAAAACTCTACTTAAATATATAACCCAACAATCAAGACTCAAATATCTATCTTTCTTGGACAATATAAACTTATTCGACTTAAAAAGGCTTATGTAACTTTGAAATAATTATTTGACGGCTGCATCGTGTGCTGTGCGTAACACTTGCTCAGCGACATTAATACATAAATTTTCTCAAGATTTACCTTAACAGTATAGGCGTGCTGCGTGCGTATATGGTTCAATAATCGTTGACAAATTTTTAGTTAAAAGACCTAATGTTCAAACGAGTTAAATTTCTTTCTTTTCTTTTTTTATTTATTGTCAGAGTGTATTTGAATTAGTTGTTGTATACCTTCAGAGTTGAGAGAAATTCTTTTTAGGTAATCTCAAGGACACATTTCTCACGTTAGTATGGTATATATTTAAAAAAAATTAATTTTTTTAAGTATTAGTCTCAAAACTTAAATTTTAGATTTAATCTGTAAAATAACACTTATTTATTAGTAAATTCAATTTTTAGATACAACCAAATTAAATCTTTAAATCAACAATTAAATACTAATTTTGTTTCCTTAATTTTAGAGTTTTGCATAATTTTTATTTTTTAATTTTTTATGTATTTTTTTAATCCTTCAACTATGAAAATATATTCTTTTAGTCATTCCATTAATTAGTTCCTTAAATTGTTTATATATGCATATTTTTAATCTCTCAACTTATAATATTTGTATATTTTTTATCCCTCAATTTAAAAGTTAAATTAAGAATGTGCATCTATAAATATGCTTAATAAATTAATTGATGAAATGTTTAAAGTATTTTTTATAATTGAGGGACTAAAAAGTGTATAAAAAAATTAATAAACAAAAACCATACAAAACTCTAAGGTTGAAGACTAAAATTGACATTTAACATTAATCCTATGTTTGGGTTAAGGTAGGGTTGAGGGGAATAGAAGAGAGCTCTATTTCCTATTCCCTTTCCTTCATTTACATAAATAATTAAATTTAAAAAATAAAATAAAATAAAAATTTCTTCCTCCCTTTAATTTTTTTAATAACTAAATAAAAATATTTTTTTCTCTCTCCCTCCCTCTAGTCTCCTCAAATCAAACATATTATAAATCAACAAACAGCACTCTCCAATCTACGTTATAAGAACCAATCAAATCAGATAAAAGATATGAAAGAAGAGTGGACTATTAATAATATGGACCTCGGCCCAAACCCAAGGCCAGGGTACTGACGCTAAAAGAGTGGACGAGGACCAGGAAGCACGTAGTAAATGGGCTTGACTATAATTTCCATCGAACCATTTGTGTTGTGGAAGAGGAAGTAAGGTGTGGAACCTACCTACCTCTCAGGCCAAGGCACCACCTTCCCTTTCTCCAGGTCTAAATAAACTCAACACAACGTGTCCCAAAAGAAGAGGATTAATAGTAATGGATAGAAAGAGAACATATGTTTCACGTTCCATGTCCAAAGGCTCCAACGGCATGACTCACATTGATAGTTTTTTCCACAAATGTTTTTCAAGTTTAAACTACATAAAAAGATACAATTTAAATTATAAATTTTATGTATTTTTAATAAATTTTTTATATATTAATTTATTTTAATATTTTAATAATTTTAATGTGTGAACTACATTTTAAATGTATAATTTGAATTGAAAAACACAATTCATAGTTACACTAAACCTTCATACATAAGAAAAATTAAAGGTGTGAAAAGAAAAGATTATAACAAGACAAACAAACGTGGAAAATACCTACTTTAATTCGTGGAAAATGAAAAGCAAAACCAGAGCAGCCTCGAACCATTACTCTCCTTTCCCGCTTCCTGGAACCTTCAATAATAATAGTATACTGGTATTTTCCTGTATAAAGTCAACGGCCTCAAAAGAAATCTTCCGGTGGCATATTCCTTGCGGCAAATTCCTTGCAGCAACCCACGCACTTCCGGATCAGATACAGACCAGCCTGATCCACCTTCCTTTAATCAAACTCCTAACGTGCAGGAGACTGGAAGTTTCCACCTTGACAATAAACAAATTCCACGTACAAATTGTGTTCTGTTTTTTGTATCTACCTGTATTTTTCCATCTAAACAGGGCTGAACTTTCCATCTCAACCGCCTTTGAATTGCTCACCCCTTTAATCTTCTTATATGTACATATAGCATATCACATTCTTCCCCATTAACACAACTAACAGCCATATATTTCTCCATTTCCTTGTTCATAGAACAGAATTCAGCATCGAGCCTCAATTGGTTTCCTTTGTTCTGTTATATATATACTGCCTTAATACAATGGGGAAGCGATCAGCAAGAACGTCAAACCCAGTTTCTTTCCTGCTGTTTGAAGTACTACTGCTTGATGTTTTGTTGACTCAAATTTTGGAATGCGTCAAAAGCATAGAAAGCTTTTTCTCAAGACACTGGTCTTCTCCACAATCCCAAATTGAATCTGGTAGTTCTAGTGTTGGGGATGAGAAGAAGAACCAGACTCAAGAGTTTCCAAGCAGTCCAGTTTCATCAGCTGGCAGGAAGAAAGACGAAGGACGCATCTTCAGAGAAGATGTGGAGATGCTGATGGGAAGATTGGGACTTGTGTGCAGCCCGGTAAGTGAGGTGCTACAGGAAAGTTTTGGTTTCAATGATTTTTCAGGGCTATTCCAGGAGACAGAGCCAAGCTTAGAGGAGGTGAGGCAAGCTTTTGATGTTTTCGATATGAACAGAGATGGGTTTATAGATGAAAAGGAGCTGCAGAGTGTTCTCACTGTTTTGGAATTGAAGGAGGGAACAGAGCTGGATAATTGCAGGAAAATGATCAAAATTGCAGATGCAAATGGAGATGGCAGAATAGATTTTCTTGAATTTGTAAAACTCATGGAAAATACTTTTTGTTGAGTTATTTCATTTTAATTTTTTTATCTTCACAAATTAATAACACTTAGATACGTTCAAACTAGATACTCAACATATTCACCACATCTAGATAGCCTTAACCAGCTACAAGCCTTCCAACTCTATATATATATATATATATATATATATATATTAATTAAGATTATTAGCTCCTCAATATATATTTTAATCAATAAACTTTATGTTATTATTATAATTAACTTAAAATAAATAAAATTCCATCACATGAATCACGTAACTATCTTTACTCAATTACACTATCTTTATTAATGTTATATTAACATAAATATGTTTCACTTGAACTCAAAAAAACATAAAACTCTCATTCAAATCACACATAAATCTCATTTTAGGCAAGAATTTTCCTTCTTGTATTTCCTCCCCATATTAATTGCAAGATCAAAGTGGCTACATTGATAGATGAATACACCATTGGTGCACCTTATGTGCTTCTCCCATTATATATCTTGTCCAAAAACCCTGATTGTAACTTGTTGCCAAATCAGGTCAATAGATATCCAAAGCCTTTTAAAGATTTTTTCATCTAAGAAAACCAATAAGTACTCCATGGTTATTTCCCATATATTCTAACAATAAAATTGTATTTGAGGGAAAAGAAAATAGACAAAATAAATACACAAATTGTCAAACTATCCTTCTTGCCTAAATCAATTACTCAAATTGAACTAATTTGGAGAAATGGTACGTACAATTACATGAATCACTTTTCAAAAATCAGGAGACATATTAATCAAAATATCAAGTGATGCACTTTATATTTCAAGATTTTTTTTTTTTCATTTTCTTATCTTAAAGTGCACAGTATCCTTATTCCCTAACAATCCAATCTAGTTTTCCACTTGAAATTGAATTATAAGGTTTCAAGTTCATCGATTGAAGATGAATTATTTGGAAATATAAACTAATTGTCAACATTAAGGAAATATCTTTGTTGATTAAGAACTGATGGCTGTTTGGATGGCAAGGAGCATCCGGTGGCGGTGAACTGCTGCTGACATGCTTCTCATGTCCATTTAGAAAGTGGGCCTGGACTTGGGCTTTTATACGTAGTCAGTCTTTTCTAATGGAGCCAGCCCGTTCTGGTCTGAAAGAATTTGTATGTTATCTTCAAAGAAAAGTGGGCTTTTATCCGTTGCGTTTTCCCAGTTTATATGGACGGTCTTTTCATCTGGCCCAGAAAAAAGCTTACTTTGATCCTTATTGCAATGTGCAAGTTTTCCTAAAGCTGGCAATGTCGCAATGGGCCAGGCAGAAAACAGCCAGATTTTTTTTTTTTTTTTTTATAATTATTTATTTTACGGTGGAGAAGATGATGGGTACCATGTGATATTGTCGTGGCTGGAGGACAAATGTTTCAGTAGCACCTTATCTGCTATGTATATATGAGAAGAAAAAGCCAACCTTCGTTGCCGAGCTAGCGGTTGGAGTTCAGCGGTGTGATATTTTAGATCTTAATTTTTGAATTTAATCACTAATATTAATCCTCT